CCTACAGAGCAATATAATGTGAGCCAAATTCCTCTTCTCCTGCAGTCCCTCTAGTGGTCATGTGTATCTTACATACCTCAATCATTCCCAGTAGAATGTAGTCTCATTACAAGTCATGTCTTCCACACAGGTTCTGAATGAGAGGGGCACTGAGGGCTTTGTCTGTATACCCTCAGCTTGGTAAGAGCAGTAATGTTCTGGACATATATGCAAACACACTTGTGGATGCTCTGACCCCATAAGTAGCTCAGGTGGTACAGTATTTGAAAAAGACACTGAGGGAAATGACAATCTAAAGACCAGACTCCATCTCTTTACATTAACTTGATCATTGATGGGTTCTTTGTAGAAACTGAACATCACTTGAGTGTCGACTCTATATTGAGGTTGTTGATAGTATCTTGGGACCACAGTATTATTTCAAGATGACAGCACACTCTTTAAGCTCACTTCATATATTTCCCGTCCAGTTTTATGGGAAAAATGGTTTCCTGACCTCGAAACTCTAAGAAACAATAAACAAACAAGCAAACAAAAATGCTGCCGTCTTCACTGTTTTATTGTACAGAGAAATCCTGGAAAATGGACCATAGCTTTCTCCCTAATCAGGCAGGAAAAAATTCCTCGATGTCAGGAAAATTAGGGCTTTTTTTCTTCAATATCTGAGCACCTTACTGTGGGCTTCTCAAAAAGTTGAGGCAGGGGGAACCCTCAAAGCATTTGAAACTGCTCAAGTATTTACATTGTAATTATCCCATGAGGGAGAGAAAAAGAGGAAAGCCCCTGTTCCTTCAGCACCTTCACTGTGAACACTTTGCCAGCTGCCTTTCCAAACATCCTTCCAGACTGCTCAATTGTCTAAGAGGTTACTTCCATGATTACAGGAACCCCATTTCAAAGAGGAAGGTCCAGATTTTCTGAATATTTGTGTTAATTTTTTCCAAGATAACACAGGAGGTCATTTAGAGTGTGCACATTAGGTCCCTAGTCAGACTTCAAAGGAGGTTGTTTGTATTCTTCCCTTGCTGTAAAGCCTTGAAAGGTATGATATACCTTAACATTGATTATGCTAAACTTTCTTATCTATCAGTACCTTGCCATCTGCAGTCCAGTGAGATTTGGAATTAAATCCTGATCCCAGGCCCAAACTCCAAAGTCTGGGCTTCCTGTACAAAGCCTATATTATCTTTCATTATCTTCCAGGCTGGGTACTAGTGCCCACAAAGAGCAATGAGAACGGGCACAGTTCTCTAAATGAAGCAATCACTTTCACTATGCTGGTCCAGTCTGCAGCTTTGGATTTCTCACTGACTCAATCTGAGTCGCAAGGGATTATCAGGTCACTCTACGACTAAGCCTGCCTACCATACTCCTGCCCATAACCTGGTACCCTGAGACAGTAGGCTCTCCCTTTTCTGGGCACCACAGCCTTCTCTCAAAGGCCTATTGTGGGTAAAATTGTAGTATTTCCAGAATCTCTTGCCTGGCTTTAGGGTATTTGCATATCAATAGTTATTTCAAGGGGTGGAGTGAAGTGGTCATCTACATATCAATAGGTAATTACAAGGGCATGCAGGGCTTATCTGGATGGGAAAGGTTGGGTGGAGCTCTCTTCTGCTGCATCCTGGTCCAGAGAGAGACTAGACAACCTCTTGTAAGAAATAAATGGGTTTCTTAAACTTTATTTCTCCCTTTGAATGATTTCGGTTTCAAAAGTATTTTGCCTGGGAAGTTCCCCTCTCTGGAGTTACACCTAGTGAGGTTCCTTAGTGTGCATTCCTCAGTCCTGATTCACTGCTTATCTTTGGCGTTCCAGCCTTTCTACAGATCAGAAGTCATAAACAGAGGTCTTCAGACTTCAGGCAGGTTGTGTGAATGTGTAAGGCTGGGCAGACCACCTGAAGTGAACTAGAGCACAACTGCTGGGTCTAAGGGTCTAGAAGGGGAAGACGCTACTGTGCAACCATTTGAGAATGTGGGCCTAGGGTTACCACTTGTATGGATTTTTAAGAGAAAGTAGAAATCCCAGTTTTTATGTAAATTGGTAACTGAGCAGCATTTTAAAATATTACGTGGACACAGAAAACAACTGGATACCACCCACAGTCCTCCAGTTTTTGACTTCTGCCTCAGATGATTGTTCAGCCCTGGCTTAAAAAGGAGAATTCTCAGTCTTGAAACCTTTACTTGCACCTAGCCAACAATATAGCCACCACTCGAGCCAACAATATTTTTGAGAATTACGGAAAACTTATAACCACATTAATGCATTACAAAAGTAGCCCACTCTAAGTAGTACTTGGAGACAATTCTCCATGAATCCTTCACATTTCTACATATCTCATGAGCACTGACAGCCTTTGTTTCAGAAAATCTGTTTGGGGATGTTTCTATAGCCAACAGCCTTGAAAGATAAATATGGAGTCTCTCTCTCTCTCTACAGCAATGCTAACTTCCCATTACAAACAGATTTCTCAAACTCAGGGTTCCTCTCATGTACTATAATCTACTGCCCTATCTGTATCATTTTGTGAGATGTGTGGATCAAGGAACCAGTGAAAATGCTACTACTCTGCCCCTTGCTATTGTTGTGGGTAGTAAGTCCTTGTGCTCTGACCCAGGAGTTCTGTTTTCTTCCAGCACCTGTGAAACAGTGGTAGATGAACATGTCAGGTTGCAAATAAGGTAAAATCTCAGATTCCTCAGTCTTTGACAAAATATTGCTTTTTCTTTCACTGAGCAGCTACTCTAAACTCAACAGCCTAGGGTCTTCTTCCATATGGTTTACCACATTTCCCTCAATCAGCATGTCTATCTTGCTTTTGAAAGTACAACGTTGCCTTATTCTCCACCAAAAAATCATGAACTCCCATCACATCAAATACCCAAACCTGCTTCTCATTGTTTCTATTTTAGGCTTTCAACTTTGCCTTCAGAAAATAGCTTTGTGCTTAGCAATAAAACAGTCACTAAGCAGGCAGACTGTCAGACTGTACCGCCTGGGTTAGAAACTGTTTTGCCACCTCCTAGCTGGATTACTTTGGACAAGTTATTTAACCAACTCATGCCTGTTAAAAAGGAAAGCCACAGGTCCAAGAGTGAGGGTTGAGCCAGGTCACCAAACCCAGGCTTAACGCCAGCCTAACTGCAGTTTCATCCTCCCCAGACATGCGGTCTTAGTCCATCAGGAATCTTCCGGCTGGCACCAATGAGGTAATATGTCACGTGAGCCCTCTCCATTCCCCAGAAAGAAGTTGAGGTAATCTGTGTGATAATGTTCCTCTGCTCTTCCTCTTCAGGGAAGAATATCTTCCCTGAAGCATTCTCTTCTTTTCTTTCATTAATAACTTCTTCCCCACCCTCCTGTCTACAAAAACCTTCCATTTTTTATAACTCCTTCAGAGCATCTCTCTACTTGCTAGACGAGATGCTACCCAACTCATGAATCACTTAATAAAGCCAATCAAATCTTCAAATTTTCTTGGTTGAATTTTGTTTTATATGCCTTGGTTGAATTTTGTTTTATTTGTTTTATGCCTCAGTTTCCTTATCTATAAAATAAGAATAATAGTAATGAACTCCCAGCATTATTTGATATTAAATGAGTTTATATATTTAGTGTGCTTAGAATAGTATGTGGTACATACTGAGAATGCAATGTTAGTTAACAGCTCACCTTATATGCAGGTTTTTTGTAATTTACAATCTAACTCTATCATTGGAAAGCTGAATGAATGGCAGATATTTAAGGTTACATGTATGCTTGGTCCCAATTTCAAATCCTTGAAATTGTTTAGAAACATATCATTTTTATAGGCTTTCCCTTTTGAAAAAAACGATCTTCTACAAATTATATGAAGCACCATGTATCAATGCCCCTCCATTCACATTCTATGTGAACAAATATACTATAAATGTTTTTTAAAAAACGCCAAACAACTCTTCCATGTACAATCAAAATGGCTAAATATTATCACGTAAGTATTAGAAGTTTTCTTCACAGCCCTAATCAAAAAGCCAATTCACCAAAACATTACTTATCTAAAGCATGTTTCCCATTGGTGTTTTCACTATGCTATGGCATTTCTCCTAATGGTCTCAAATTTCATCCCCTGGTCTTCTAAGAAGTGTCCTTTCTATTTTTTTAAGCCTGGAAAATTAAAATTAAAATTCCAAAGGGGTAAAAGAGGAAATCTTCAAAAATCTGATTTGATTTTCCTACACTGAACCCCTCTCCCAATACCCAAGCAGCTAATCCCCTCTCAAACACTACAATGGAACAGCTAGACAAAATGGAAAGGAGATAAAACTGGCCAGCCAGTGCACTGTTCTTGCTAATCTGCAGCATTTACATAAGGGTTAGAAGGCTTGTTTTATCATTTAAACAGGCTTAAAAGCCTCTTTGCAAATGAGATTTAGTTCCTACAAAAGAATGAATTCTAGCTATTTGGCACGTTTCTGCTATACCAGCACTGGGAGCTGACTTGGCAGTAACTTAAGCTACTTCTTTGGCCACATACAGTATATACAAAGATTGCTTCCAGCTGCCAAAACTAAAAAGTGTCAAGCTGATTAAATTCTTTCCAGGAGGTGAACAGGATGAGGAACAGGTTAAGAGGCCAATAATAGTAGATCTTGAACTATACCTGGGCAAAGTCGTCCTTTATGAAGGTGCTTTAAAAGTAGCTTTGAACTTTTAGAGGCCCTTGAATCTTCTTTGAAAGGGAACAGAAGAGCAAATAGCAAATGAAATTCAGAGACAGATTTAGAATAGTCTCAAACTTGGAAGTGAAAACAATTTAAATTCTGATTCATTCTCGGTCCGCATGGCATTGGGTACAAGGATAAACTGCACGGCTAGCTCCCTTGACAATGTCAGCACAAAAGAGAACTTGAAGAAATACTTTCTTAACACAGAGGAGTACACCCTTTGGATCAAAGTCTTAGATTTTAAAAATCAACATTATGTTTATACAAACTATACCAATTATTTGTTTTACCTGGCACACCTTGAACAGATGTTCAGTGTGACCTTGGCCTGAAGTTCAGCAGGGTGAGTAGCACGACCTTGGTTAAATTTGCTCCCAGAAGGTAGCAGGGTAGTTACTCCCTCCATTCTTAAATCATCAAGATCCTCTGTAACAACATAAACAATTGCAAAAATAAATATTAACTCTAATAAAGGATGAAAGTCCATGTTTTCAGGTTTCTGCCAGTAGTTTGTTAAAAAATACATTATAATTCCACTTTTCAAAAATCCAACCTCATGAATCAATTATTTTTCAAATCATTTCTAGATGTAGTAGGAGACAAATTATATGAGATGATTTACAAAAGCAAAATGGCAAAAGACTGAATCTGTTTGGATAATAAGCAGACCATCTTCAATCATGGAACATGGATCCACAGCCTTTGCTGATACCATCCAGGGAAGAAAAACCACATCTCTGCAGCAATTGCCCTAAATAGTCAGGACTGGGTCAATGACCACCAGCTTTTCTATATTTGTGTTTGTTTACAGCATAGGACCAATAAGAGATAGACAAATAGGTTCCCAAAATAGTTACATAATATCATTCACTTCTAACTAGCTCTCCTTCATTTTCTCCACTCAACAAGCTCCAATTGTATCTGAAGCCCTCTCTTTTTTTCCACTCTAAACCTTTCTTTATTGTCTTCACTTGGTATGGACAACTGTAGTCATGCCACCTTCTATTTTTCCCAGATACTAAATCAAGAGTTAAAAGATCTAAGTTTCCCTGGTCATTCAGTCCTGATTCAATATGTACATGATATGCTTCCTGCTTTATGCAGAGAACAAGGAATCGGAATCATGTATAAAAGAAAAAAAAAGGATTTCATTTATTTGCACTCAGCCTTACCAAAAGAGTGATATTAAGTTTCAAAAAGATAAATTATAATTTTGCTAAAACATAATCCAATATTGAGCTTATAGCCTGAGAAAAGAGGGAAATCCCTCTCTCCTGATTAGCTATAGATTATCTAAACATTTTAGGTTCCTCGCAAAACAACAGAGATGATTTCTAGTTTTAAATGTATATTGCAAACAAGTATCAAATTTTCCTGAGATTGTGACAACTTTTAGCCTAAGTCATAAATAGGCCTTCCATTATTTGAAGAAACCCAGTGTCTTGCCAATGGTTTTCAGCCCTGGGCAAGTTCACTATAGATTCAATGAGACCGAGGAATAACAATGGAATGTTCTGGGGGTGAAAGGGTTTATACCCAACTTTTTTCCCATGGTGGCAGGTCAATCACTAGAATCCCACCACTCAGAGTGAGTCTGCATGTAGCAAGCCAATCTTCTGCCTCTGGGCCTCTCTACCCTCACAGCCATCTCAGTCTCTGTCCTCGGTGCTGCCACCACTCCAGTCTCATCTCTGATCTCCTGCATCCTTGTAGCCGTGCCACTGTGCTGCCCAAGGCACTGGGCGGAGCTCTTTATATAGAGTCAATAATAATGTATTGCCCACAGATGTGTAGTGAGCTAGCCGACCAGGGCCAGGTGAGAATCCTGGCCATAGGAAACTTCACTTTATCCACAGATGCAACCTCAACTAAAATCTTTTATGTCTACTTACACCTGAGCAATCTGGGCAAGCCCTTAGTTTTAAATCAACTCCGTGGGAGTCATAAAAATTCATTATCTTGGCCTTATTGCAAAGTTTCATTCCCCTTGTTTTAGGGCAATAGCCACTACTTCAAACCTGGGTGCTTCTGCTGAGCTAGTTAGAGGCTCCTCTCTTGATCTTATGATTCTTCATGCAACACAGGCATTACTACTACCTCAGAATATACACTTTTCAGCTAGCTAAGTAGGCTGTCATGAGATTCTGTTAGTCTCTCCCTTTCACATTACTATTACCACTGCAACACCCTAATCTGCCACTAGCCTAACCCTACTAAAAGAAGGGAACCTGGTGATTTGCTTAGCTTAGTTAGGGAACTTGTTATACTTCACTCAGCTTAAAGGATTCCTACTGAAAACTCTGACTTATATTATTGGTTGATGGCTTATACCACAAAACTTGAAACTAGAGCAGAATATGCTATCACCAATTTAAGCTTACCTTTAGAATATAGTCGTCTACCTGAGATAAAATCAGCCCAGATAACAGAATTACTGCACTTATCCAAGCTTGTCAAGCAGTCAAAGACCAGAGAGTAAACATATATACAGGTATGCTTTTTAAAAAATATAACTGAGATGTTTTGAAAACAAAGGAGTCAACTCTGTTGGAACTCTCATTAAAAATGGACAAAAAGTTTAAGACACTGTTAAATGCACTCCTACTTTATAAAAAGGTAGGTTTTATAAAATTTAGGCCTTATGAAAAATGAAATAATGTGGAAGCTAAAAGAAATACTTCAGCAGATCATTTTGTCAAACAACATCCTTAACCAAGGTTTTAATCCTATCTAAACTCTTAAAGGATAAATCCTTAAAAGAATTCAAAGAGGCCACTATAAAATATCATTTGGTCACCCATTTTGAAAAGCAAAAAACTAAAAATATATATGGTTCTAGCTTCACTTAGATAAACTCTGGTGCTCTCAAGACAGCTGCTTGGTGGCAGTGGAGGGTTTCAAATGCAAGTTAGCTAAATTTCTCCATGAAACTATTCATCTTGGTACAACAGATAAATTGGTTACTATCTTAAATCAACATGGCTGGGAAAATTTTTAAATGACAGCTTAAGTCATTTTTAAGTCATGTGGGCTTGTCACCAGCGTAATTCTTTAAAAATTTTAAATGTGGGACATGGCCAGAAACTGAAGCTTTAAGGGCCCTTTAAACAACTTCTGATGGATTCTATACAGCTTATTTCCATGAGATTTGAATATGCTTTAGTTATTATATGTCTATCTAATTTCAGGATGGACTGAAACATCTCTTTCTGCTCTTACTACCTACAAACTTCTGGAAAGGTAGAAATGTCAGTGACATCCTTGCAATAAAATAATAAAACTTTCAGAAACTCTTGGGCTCCCTTGGTCAAAGGTACTTCCACCCATTCTTATGTCAGTTATATTCCACACTCTTTATTTCCCTAAAGACTCGTGTTTCAGGATTTTGCCTGTGATACTATTCTCTGCTGTGAGGCACATAGACATAGCAAAATACTGCAGGAGATTCATGTGCTATACCCAGTCCTATTGTGGCAGAAGGTAGCCAGTGGGGTAGGTAGAACAGGACATGTTGCCCAGTAAAGGTCGGCCAAGCAGGACGCTGACGCTAGGCATTGTGGTTGGCCAGTCAAGTGGAAGAGTAAAAAACCATCCTAAAGGACTCAGTACAGGGAGCCAATATATCATGCTCAACCCTAGCAACAAGGCCTGGTCAAACCTAGCAACAAGTCCTAGGTAACCATGTGGACTTCCTTCTTGTTGTGCTTATAAACCCCAGCCACTGTAGCCCTAACAGCATCCTTCCTTGGATCACTGCCCGGTTAGTGGATCAATTTTCTTTTTGCTCATTAAAAGCTTTGCTGGTTTCTCTGTACTCTTGTCCTTTCACTTCATTCTTCATTACCTCCAAGACACGATCCTGGGAAGAATAGCAACTTTTCCACCAGTAATACTATCACCAACAGGTTAAGGTTGCTAGAATATCTTAAACAGCTTTTTCATGATATTCAACTATGAGATTTCATCTATTGAAAGACTATTTCAGAGAAAAAAACTACTCTTGAACCTCACTGAACTGTTAACAACAAATACAGAAGTACAACTCCCTGGAGTAAATTCTTGGGTTCATATTTCACAACTAAAGAAGCAAACCAGAATCATCAAAATTGGAAGACTGCTCTTCCAAAATGGGCCTCAAACTGAAGACTCTCAGATGAGATTCTATAGAAGCAGATCATCTTCACAGTGGACAGATGACCCAAGACATTCAGAACTATCTGACGACCTTAGATTCTACACAAGATGTTGGATCAAAACTGCTGCCCAATTACTATTTAATTGTTTATCTGCTTAAAATCATTCTCCTTTTCATTTTCTATAGACCCCTGGTTGTCAAACCCTAAAATGGCTTTTCTTTTATACTCTTCTTACTAAAATTGTTAGATCTGAGCATAAACATTCTAACACCAGTCTCAGATTATCCCAAACAGGAGCCTTCAAGCTTGCTGACTGATGAATATCCCATTCCTCACTAAATTCTAATCTCAACAAATGAGACCAAAGGAGAATTACAGCCAATGGCCTTTTACCCACCTACATGGACAAATGGCCTTAAATAAACTGACTTGTTACTTTGCTAGTGTCCCTCTCTCACAGAAGGAATTATTACAGTCTGTCAATTAGACACAAGATAATTCTAAATTTGAATTCAATGACCTTCTTAAAACAATGGGCCGATTACTTGCCATCGGGACTAATAGAGACAAATGTGTAAACCAGCTAATATAAGGTCTTGATTCCAACCTCATGTCATGAACAATTCCTTTTTCTTGGATGTCCATGTGTTCCTACCAGATACTGCTTCCATCACAGCTGTGACGGCCAGTCTTGCTTGTCTCATACTAATATCTCACAGACATTGGGAACAGTATTATAAAACTTACCCAAACACAGACACCCTAATTCTATAAGTCACAAAGGCTGTAAATTACAATTCAGATGTGAACTACAAAATAAGCCTACCCTTGATTATTTAAGCACTTTACCTGGGGCAGTTACTGATTGTTTATGCAAACAATCAAAGCAGTGTGGCCAAAAATAGGAATCATACAAACAAAATACTGTAAGACATGTATCATTTTAACTCTGGCAGAAGTTATGAATTATACCACCTCTACCCTAAATGGGATATAGATTGTTCTCAACTTCTTGGCAATAGTGTGGTGGACCATCTAGGTTTCTCTTTCATTAGTCATGATAGTATCTGTGTCATTGTTAATACTTCTTGCTGTACTTGGCTCAATGAAACAGGTAGGGGAGAAAAGGGGCTATGCATTGTCTTAAGGAAAAAGTTATTTGACTAAGGATGATCTTTATGACCTGTGGAATTCTTCTCTAGGCCTTGATTATACAATTTAGGTTCTTAGTTCTGAAGCAACGTGAATGGACTTTAACTGTTCTTGTTTTTGTTACAGTGGTTATGATGC